TATAGTATTTGACTTCCAAGGCTAAGTTATAAAAGACAATAAAGCCTCCATTTGGCTCACTGGAATGCTTACTCCTGAAGACTTCAGTCTGACTCCCCTGAGACTGCCATCCTGTGAGGAAGCTCAAACTATCCCAGGAGGAACGACCACTTGGAGAGGTCCTGAGGCTGCACAGAGATGTCTAGACATCCCCCACTGCCTCAGGCTCTTACTTTATACTTTACACTTTCTCACTGTTCCTGGTTAAGCCAGGCCGGCTGCAACTCACTAGGAACCCAAACCAGGACCACTCAACTTCCCAAATCATTGATCCTTCAAAATGGTGAGAGATAATAAAATAATGTAGCTTTGAGTCACCAAATTTTGGGGAGATTTGGTAGTCCATGATAGATGAACTGTAACAGTTTGGGACACAATATTATTTATATAGAGATAACAAAATCTATACAAATAGTATATAACAGAATGAAAATATATGCTAAATACATGTGAATATATGTAATAAATTATGAATCATGTACATTATATTATATAGTATATTCATCATTTTGAATGAACGTGTTACATATTATAAATATTTTATGTGAGTATATATATGTATTCATGCAAAAATAATGATTAATCGTTTGCTGATGCCAGGTATAGTGCTGGCCCTAAATGAGCATGTTCAATCACTTTTCCCTTCTGATACCTGGAGAATTGTTTGCATGTCTATCCTATCCAAAATAATGGCTCATCAGGAGGGTGGATTCTCAGTGAGTGAGGTTACATCAGTTGCCTACTCAAACTTGATTTCTTATCTTCTTTCTTACTGATAGAATAGGATTTTTTTTGGAGAGGACAAGGCGCCCATCTAGAAAATTATATTTTCCAGCTTCCCTTGCAGCTAGGAATGGCCATGAGGCAATTCTGACCATTGAGATATAAGTGGAAGTTGCTGTGTGGGAGTCCTGGGAAAGATTTTTTTTTTTAGAAGGAAATAGATCTATCTTATTTGATACTCTAGGAGACAAGCAAAGACACATTCTTCTTCTGTGGCATACATCATATGCAGAATTTCTCTGTGCCCCTGCCCCCTCCCAGAGTACTTAGCTGTATGGTGTGATGCTTCAGAACAACAGGCCATAACTCAGTCTATTACACCCAACTGCAAGAAGGAAGTATTGGTAAAGTGTGGTAACAACGAACACCAGGCTCCCGTAAGGGATTCTTCCCCAGAGCCTCTCATAACCAGACTGATCATGTTACTCCTCTGGTAAAAAATCTTCAGTGGCTTTCAATAAATATTCTTTATTGTCTTAGCAAAGCTAACTACTTAACATTAGGAAACTAGATATTGCAAATCTGTAATAACCTTTTCATTTGTTAACAGGAATGCTGTCTTATGCCTTATCAAGTTTTTGTGTAGGTCTGTCTTTTTCTATCCATAAACTTCTAAAAGCAGGGAACATATCCAGTACAGTTTAAAGTTTCTGACAACACTTAGATGCAGTGAACACTGTTAAGTACTGACTGTTATTGATAACCTTGTCAATCCTGCCATTTTTATATCTAACTCAGAATTTAAAATAACATCTTTATAGAACATTATAATACACAAAACACCTTTTAAAAGCTGAAAAATTTCAAATGCACAAAAATAGAGATAAAAGGATAATAAACTATCAACCGAACTCATTAGCCAACCTTAACAATTATCAACACCTCCCATTTTTTTACTACAGTATATCAAAATGGAATCAGACAACCTATCATTTTGCACATACTTACTTCAGTGTATATCTCTCACATATAAGGACTTTTAAAACATGTCTGGGCCGGGTGCGGTGGCTCATGCCTATAATCCCAGCACTTTGGGAGGTTGAGGTGAGAGAACTGCCTTAGCCCATGGGTTTGAGACCAGCCCGGGCAACTTAGCAAGACCTCATCTCTACAATAAATAAAAAAAAATACTAGCTGGATGTGGTGGCGCACACCTGTAGTTCCCACTACTTGGAAGGCTGAAAGGGAAGGATCGTCTGAGCCCAGCAGGTCGAGGCTGCAGTGGCTGTGAGCAGCGCGTGCCACTGCACTCCAGCATGGATGACAGAGTAAGACTCTGACTCAAAAAAAAAAAAACCCCAAAAAGCCATGTCTGTAACACAGTTATAACACCCAATATTAATAATTTCTTACTATCTTTTAACATTTAGTTTATGTTCAGTTACAGTTCACCGTCACAAAAATGTCTTTTTACAATTCTGTTTGTTCAAATCAGGATCCAAGTAACATTTGGTTAGTATCTTAAATCTTTTTTAATCTGCAAAAGTCCCCCTCTGTTTTTTAATGTCATTTATTTATTGAAGAAATTGGGTCACTTGTCCTGGTTGTATCCACTTGGTGTCTTTTTTTTTTTGGAGTCTCACTCTGTCGCCCAGACTGGAGTGCAGTGGCCACTCCCAACCACCGTAGCCTCTACCTGCTGGGCTCCGGTGATCCTTCTGCCTCAGTCTTCCAAGTAGCTGGAACTACAGGTGTGTGCTACCACACCCAGCTAAATTTTTTGATTTATTGTAAAGATGAGGTCTTGCCAAGTTGCCCAGGTGGGCCTTGAACCCTCAGACTCAGGCAATCCACTCACCTCAGCCTCCCAAAGCACGGGATTACGGGCTGAGCCACTGAGCCCGGCTCACTTGGTCTCTTTTGACATCTTCCTCTATCCACTACGTTTTCTGTGACTGATAGTTTAGATATAGAAGACTGATTAAAGTTCAAAAAATATTTTACAGTATTATAACATATTAAGAGACACAATGTCTGGTTATCCCTCTTTGGGTAACACTGAGATTGATCAGTGGGTTGAGGTCGTGCCGGCATGAGTCCTCCCCATCAACCTTTCATCTGATTGTTTTAGCAACCAATGATGATCACTGGCCGGAGCTATTTTACTATAGCCAGTAGAGATGGCAAAACTGTTCTTTTTAAAATTTGTTATTTCCTTCTACTTAAAAACCTTGCTCACTAACCAGCTACCCATTTTGAAAGTCTGTACATCTTAAATACACAACTCAACTTCAGATTCCTTCATAGAGTCCTCCCTGTCTGCTTAATGGCAGAAATGTCACTCACCTGGAACCTATAATATGCTGCTATGCAGCATAATTTCATCTGCCTGTCTGTAAGCTTCAGGAGGTCCCAATTATGTTTTAGGTATCTTTGTATTATAATGATGAACATAGCATGTTACAAGAAATGTGTAAAAACGTTTGATTAGGTGAATATTCAAATTAAAAGCCACCCATTCATGCAAAACATCTGCAGCCAGATTCCAAAATGAAATATGCATACACACATATACATGCAATACCATAAATTTATTATAATACACACAGAAAAACAAACGGAAACTTTGACAACATCCACAGTGTTCCAGTCTATAAAAAGTTAGCCAAAATAAGGGATACTTGAGAGAGCATAATCTCATGATTTTTTAATTTATGAAAGAATGTAGTATACTCAGTTAAGACTTTTAGTTAAGAATTAAGACTATAACAAGAATTATGGCAACATCCCATAGATATTTAAAAATTTGTATTTGGATTTACTTACTATATAGATATAGGTTTTCAAGGATTCATAAAGTATATCATAAACTAGATTTTGTAACTGGGCTTTTTGTTTGTTAGGTAAGGAATCCCAAAGACAATAAAGTCCTGAAAAGTGGAATGAAACACCATGGAAACTCTACGTGACCACACAGAGCCCTTCTAATAAAACATTGCTGAGGCTAGCACACCCCCATATGAATTTTACATCCAGTGACACTCATTTTGATGTTTATATGGAGGACACTTTTACTAGCCATGATTTATTTTGTAATACGCTAGCTCTCCACTCCTACTCATATAACTGAGAAGGCAGTTTTAGCAGATGTTAGTTCATAGACAAGTTAAACACTTTAAAGAGTACATGGGGGTTAGGAGCAGTGGTATGATGCAGGTCGGAAAGTAGGAAACACACTCTCCTGCTTTATCTTCTTTTGTTTTTGCTTCCTTGGGGTCTTTCTCCTACTATGGTCTTTGGAAACTACACGTATGTACATCACCTACCATACCTTCTCATTTTACCACAGGTTGAATACGAAGAGCCACAACTGGAAAATAGCTGAGGAACCCCAAAACCTTCAGAGGGAAAGAAATTAGAGCAGCGGTTTCTTTTGGTGCTGCTCTCCTATTCGCTATTCTAAAAAATATGAAAGTCCTCTCGTTTATCAAGCCTCATCTTCTCATACTGTAAGCAAGTGGAATCACAAAAGGTCACTTAAAGGCAAATACCCTTATGAATCTGGTAAGTATAAAGCTAAAAGGCCACGATACAGAGTAAAATTAGGCTTGGCTGTACAATAAGTATCTCTGTGTTACACAATCACTGGGACCTTAAGTACAGAATGTTTCTAGTCCTACAAACATAATAGTCTGTCAAACTCGAGTATAATAGAACAAGACAAAAGCAATAAGGAAAACTTCACAAATGTCCAAATATTGCTGTTTCTATTGACCAGTAGTTTTGGGTGTCTGACAAGAAATTGTAAAAACAAGAGAATTTTAGAGAGTAGCCATTTTACAGACACAAAACCTATACCAAATGAATTTCAGTCCTTCATTATAGGTCTGAAAAAAAAGAAATCCAGGTTGTTAATTAATTCACAAGTCTGGAAAATATTTTATTGTAGAGTGTATCTATAACACTAACTAGATAATCTATAACTATTCTGTAGTCTTCTGTCTCTCACTCAAGGCAGAACAGTCCTTACTTACATGATCAGATCTTTCCCAGTTAATCTCTGCTCCATCATTTGCCTCAAGTTGCTTCACAAGCCACTCTAACCTATATCTGGAAACCCAGTACAATGGGTGGTCTAAAAGTATTGATAATTTAAGGGCACCAGCAGTGTGCTAATGATCTGAACATTTTAGTGTCTAACCAGTACATATTTAACCAAGATCATCAGTATATATTAAACCATGACAATATAAGAGAGTGACATAATACAACAGACAATAGATTTTTCCCACTGAACTATACAGTACTTTATTCACTGACAAATTCACCTCTTTCCAGAGATATACAAAGTTAACTGCAAAATAGTAAGAGCAAAGTATTCATTAACTCAACAAAATAAATCATCTTATTTTCAAAATAATACTAACTAAACCTTAGTATCAAGTGCATCAGTGTACTAATCCAAAGGAATTATTATTTTGAAACAGTTTGTTCAACAAAAGTGCTGTGAGGAAGTCTTATCAGCAGAACTAGTGGCAGTTACTCAAAAGATCTATTAAAAATTATCATTAGTGATTTTAAATGACAACTTATCATTTAAACATTCACCCATGTTAGCTCTTTAGCATTGGAATTCAACTCTAGAGTGAACAGAGTATCTTGTGCATATAATCAACAAACAATAAGGCCAGAGACCACAGTTAGAGGTTTCCAGACCTGGCAAAAGGAATCTATTGTACTGCATGGATCTCTGTCCGTGCTCAAAATATCTAATGATATTTTTCATCTATATCGAACTTCCTTGAAGAGTACTGCATTGCTTCACATATGCCTTTCACTGTAACAAAATATATTAAACAAAACCTTTGGATTAGGTTTAAAAGCAGCTAAAAATCTTCGGGCTGCTCGAGGCTCTAATTATCGGAAGACTGCTATCTGGGAGCACTGGGCTCTCAAATATCAGAACTCTCAATAACTTATAAAAAATACAAGCTCTTAGTTTTGAAAAATATACAAAATACACTGCATAGGTAAATATGTTTTGATTGTCAAGGAAGACAAGATAACAGTTTCATCATAGACTTATGCCGTGCTTATGTTTCAGTGATCTTTGTTTTTGCAGTTTCCATTTTTCACAGTTTTGGGCAGCCTCTGACCTTTGGTATAAGCACGGTACCAAAAATGGAGAAAGAGCAGCAGAAAGATACACCCATAGCTCATAATGACGTACAAAAAGACTGGAAACTGGTACTTGCAATCCTCCATGAAAAAGAACTGACCTATGTGGATGGTGACAATAATAAACTGCACCTAAAAGATAAAAAGTAAAAAAAAAATTGTACAGATATGAAGAGTTACAATTCTTTACCTGCTTATGTTTATACTCTTTCCAAGAACAAGGAGTGCACTGTTGGGGAGGGAAGTTCATCTTTAAATCTAGCCTCACTGGGAGTAATAAGGGGTGTTCTAGTGTCAAAATCCAGATGGAAGTTTAGAACTGCTATTCAGTCCTGCCAAACTGTGCAAGCCCAGGGAGCCCTATTTAAATTTTTGGGTTTTTTTTTTGAGTTGGAGTCTCACTCTGTCACCCAGACTGGAGTGCAGTGGCCGCTCCCGGCCACCGCAGCCTCGCCTGCTGGGCTCCAGCAATCCTTCTGCCTCAGCCTTCGAGTAGCCGGAATTACAGGCATGCGCTACCACGCCCAGCTGATTTTTTGATTTATTGTAGAGACGAGGTCTTGCTGCCCAGGCGGGTCTCGAACCCACGGGCTCAGGCAATCCACTCACCTCAGCCTTCCAAAGGCCCGGGATCACAGGCTGAGCCACCGAGCCGGCTTCCTATTTAAACTTAAATGTTCCCTGGAGCTGTGCCATGCAGCAACCCCTTGACTACTCAGAGAATCAACCAAGCAGGCTTTTTTGGGAAGACTCTGACTTGACTCCTTGACTCAAAGTGCAGATGGGAGTAGCTAACCTTCTGGCCAAATTTTTCAGCATGGTTTTGATTTCAAATATTCTGTCCTGTTATTAGACCAGGTATTTCAAATTTCAGAAAACAAAAACATTCTAATTAGAGGCCCTCTAATTTTGCAGGGACCAAAGCATCCCTAAGTCCTCATATCTGCCACTTGTCCTCCACTGTCATAGATAAAAATGTGCTTGGGTTGCCAAACCGAGCACATTTTCCGAGAGGAAATCCGCAAATTGTGAGAGAGCATTGGTGACACCTTTCTATTAGTGCTCAAGGGCTCTGTGGGCCAGAACATTCTACTTAGTCCTAAGAACATTTTCTAGGGTAATGTACACATATTTGCTTATCATTTTTTTCCTTGATTGAAAGGCAACATGTATTCTATGGAAATTTTAGAAAAGTAAAACTATATAAAGAAATAGATAACAATTACCCAAAATTCATCTAGTTAGATCCATGTTCAGATTTCCACATGGTTTCTTCTATTGTTATTTCATTCTCATGACCAACTTTCCTTGCATTATCTTAATGAACTTTTATGATAACCCTGCACAGTAGCCAAAATTATTCCTCTCATTTAGTAGAAGAGGAAACCAAACCTGAGAAAGGCTAAGCAATGTCCTCAGTGTTCTTCTTTGAGATAATAATGAACAAATGTCTATCCGTCTTTTCTACAGAAGAATTTTCCATATTATCAAAAAGCTTTTTTAAATAACAGTTAAACATGTGCTAAGTAAGAGGGAGAGAGAGAGAGAAAACCTGATAGCAAATTGTATATGCAGCATAATATAAATCATGGAAAAAGTAAATACATATACTCATAAGAGAAAAAAGCCAGATGAAAATAAAATAAAAATATCAGCACTGACTATCCCTGGGTGGTAGATTTTATGTTCATCTGATCTTCTCTTTACTTAATTAGGTGTTATAATTTCTTTGCAATGAGCATATACTACTTTACAATAAGAATGTATATATCCTATATGCTTTTTGAGTCAGATCTCACTCTGTCACCCAGGGTGGAGTGTAGTAGCATGATCACAGCTCACTGCAGCCTTGATCTCCTGGGTTCAGGTGATCCCTCAGCCTCCCAAAGTGCTGGGATCACAGGTGTGAGCCACCATGCTGGGCCCCAAAATAATATTTTTTAAAAAAGCAACGGTTAATTTTTATGACTTCATAGTATTCTAAAATATTAAATAATCTGTTTCATCATTTTCTTATAGTTGGTCATTCAGACTGTTGTCAACTTCAGAGACAATAAATAACTCTGCAAGTACATAACTCTGATCTTGATTTAGGATCTGTACAGATTAAAATATCAATCTGTCACCTGGGAGAACACATTATATGAATGTGTCAGATTTCATTTAGCAAACTGTAGAAATTTTAATAAAAATTAAGCTTCAGCAGGTTATCTAAACCAAATTCATACTTTCTCCTTGGTGTTACTGGCAGAATATGATACCAATTTATTATAGACTGTAAATGTGGAAAAGCAAGGATAGCAGAATTCTCCTTTTAATAGGAGCCAAGACAACTTAAAGCAAAGCATCATCTCAAACCCACAGTTATTCTTCAAAAATAAATTGTTTTAATGTCATATGTTTTTAGAACAAATGCTCGCAAGTTTTCACTAGGTCTAAGCTGAGTGCCTCTGGATCCCAAACATTGTTTACTTAAGATCAGTATTCAAATTTATGTAATACATATATGTTTATCTAATACTCTGCACCTTTAAACCTAGCAATACTTTTTTATTGATTGGAGGAAAGATAGGAATGCTTTCACACAGGAAGACTCAGCATTCCCTCAAAGTTACATTCCCTCAAGGTCATTTAGATCTCATGGAATTTCTAATTTATTATTAGAATAAAATTTCTAATTTATTATTGAGGGTCACAATATTTGGGGTTTATTTTTTATCACAAATATATTTATTATTGTATAAATGCATAAAATAGTATAAAGATAATATAAAGATACACATATTGGTTTGTGCATCTTGGTAACTGAATGTACTTTGTTTTCACCAATAGTTTCCACAAGTTCATATAACACAGAAAGAATGATGGGCACTATACCCCTATTTTTTGGTACACCTTGTTCTTCTAATTCACAGTAAAAACAAGTAACTCCAGTTTAGTGAGAGTTAACATATATAAAGCACACAAAGTATATTAATCTTAAGTATGCAACTTGATGGTTTTTACATATGTATATTCCCGCATATCAAAATGGCTTTACAGAAAATTAATTACTCACAAGTTGTAATGATGTCAAATATTTTTTCCACCACAAATACTTCTGGTAGGCTGGTCCCAGTGCACACAGTCCATAGTAGAAATACATGACTACATGTACAGCTGTATTTAGGAAGGCATGGAATGTTCCCAAACCACCTGGAAAATAAAATTATTGTAACTTAGGGGCATTGTTCCTTAAAATAAAACTGATTTTTGTCTGAACTGAGATTTTAGTATAACTGTTTCTTAAATTTTAGTAGGAAGAAAAACGTATACAGAGGGTACCAAAAATGTATACCCTTTTTAAAAAATTTTTAATTTTAAAGATGTGGGTACAATTCAGGGTTAGGTATACAAATGTTCATTATGCAGGTACCCTAGTTGATGAGGTAATGTATATACATTTTAAGAAAGGAAAGAACTGTTTTAAAATTGTAATACTCAATAAGATGAATACAAGTCATATTTGACTTCTGCAATCACAAGAGGTGCTCAAAGTGGTTCCCATCAGCGTCCAGGCACTTCTGATTATGGCGACCATCTCTTAAAATGTGTACGCATTTTTTTGGCACCCCCAGTAAGAAAAATCAATTCTGTTAAACAGCCATCAAATTAGAGGAAACAGGGCAGTATATATAGTAAAATATAAGATACAAATCTTAGGAAGTAAATTAACATGTCTTTATTTTGTTACATCTTTTCTTTTTTTTTGAATTGGAGTCTCACTCTGTCGCCCAGACTGGAGTGCAGTGGCATGTTCACGGCCACCACAGCCTCAACCTGCTGGGTTCAGGTAATCCTTTCACCTCAGCCTTCCAAGGAGCTGGAACCACAGACTGCGCACAATGCCTGGTTAATTTTTTTAAAAATTTATTTTAGAGATGAGGTCTCACCATGTTGCCTAGGTTGGTCTCGAGCCCATGGGCTCAGGCAATCTTCTCACCTCGGCCTCCCAAAGTTCTGGGATGACAGGCGTGAGCCACTATGCCTGGCTATTTTGCTATATGTTAACCTTAAGGTGGTCTTTTAATTTGGGTTTACTTTAACAAACTTAGTTGAATTACCTTTTAAATATAATATATAAATAATTATAAAATTCATTGTTTAGTGAGAGTTAACACATATAAAGTACATTAATCTTAAGTATACAACTTGATGATTTTTCACATCCATATACATCCATGTAAACACCAAGAAGAAGATACAGAACATTTCCAACACCACACAAGATTCTCATGTGCCCCTTTCGAGAATGTATCCCCCCCCAAGGCAGACTTCATTCTGACTTCCGTCAACTATTAGTTTTGCCTGTTATTAAACTTCACATAAATGGCATTACATAGGACATACTTTTTTTTTTAGAAAGCAGGATTTATTGGGAGGACAGAAAGCTCCCACAGTGGGAGGGGCCCCAAGGGGGTTGTCCAGGATATACATAATGGTGTGAACATTAGTATTACATCATGTAAATGCATCATTAGTTATCTTTTCTCCTGCTGAAAAATATTTGGGTTGTTTCCAATTTGGGTATTCTGAAAAAAGCTGTTAAGAATATTTTTGTACATGTCATTGTGTGAAATTGAATTTATTTTTCTCATTCTCAATAATTTTCATTAAATAATTTTGGCAGTAAAGCCACTGGCTTTCATTAGTCAGCTATGCTAAATTTGCTTTAATCAATCACTGTTTTTCCAAAGTAAATATTAACTGTTAGGCCATCTTTGTTTACTCCTTCCATTTGAGTATGCCTTCCTATATTCGTTTCCTCTTCTAATTTCACAGCATCTTCTACTAACCAACTTCAACTGAGAAGTAAAGAGCACTTGAGAAAGTAAGAAAAGATCATTTCAATTGTCTCTAGCTGGACCAGCAGTACAGCAGAAGGGGTAATATGGTGTCTAGTTGACCATGGGAAAAAAGCAAACAAAAAATTCTTCCTAGGGTCTCTTTCCTGAGAGGAACAATCAAAAAGAATCTGTATTCTTTATGTACAGCCTCACGCAACTTAGTAATGTTGACCTGGAATTTTAATTTTTCTCTAGCATATTCTATTTTCTTAATTGTAGTATTCTTTAATAAATAAAGCAAGCCGGGCTCGGTGGCTCAGCCTGTAATCCCGCGCCTTTGGGAGGCTGAGGTGAATGGATTGCCTGAACCCGTGAGTTTGAGACCCGCCTGGGCAGCGAGTCCTTATCTCTACAATAAATCAAAAAATCAGCCGGGTGTGGTAGTGCATGCCTGTAATTCTGGTTACTCAGAAGGCTGAGGTGGAAGGATCGCCAGAGCCCAGAAGGCGAGGCTGCGGTGGCCGGGAGCAGCCACTGCACTCCAGTCTGGGCAACCAAGTGAGACTCCAACTCAAAAATAAATAAATAAATAAATAAATAAATAAAGCAAAACTTCATAAATTTAAACTAATTATGGTTGAAGAAGGACTGAATTCCAAGCACTATGAATTACAGGAAGTTTAAGTGAAAATACAAACTTGTCACTTATAATTGTCTAAGGAAATATGTCATAAACAGTTACATAGCATAAATTAATTACATTTTAATGACTATTCATAACTATAGCAATTCTCGGTATTTCTAGATACTAGCACTGCTAAGACCTTTCTTAAAATGACCTGTCTTAAATTTAAATAGTTAAATATTCTCCCAAATCCTACTGTGCTTCATCAACTTTTTCCTCCTCATTAGAGTAAATCAAATTTTAGCTAATCTCCCAATTACCACAATTTCAAGTCAGAAGGAACTAAATTAATAAAGTTTATTAACAACCTTCCAGCTTTTATTATTTACATTTGGATTAGTATGAATAATTTAATCCTAATGGTGTAAAAACATCTTTTCCAGGATAACTTAAAAATGGAATAGCTGTCTGCTTCCAATAGATTAGGAGTCACTCTACTTAATAGAAACACAAGCCAAATACCTCTCAAATTCATTTGTGTCTCGGCCACATGCAGTGGCTCATGCCTGTAATCCCCGCACTTTGGGAGAAGGTGGGAGGATCACTTGAGCCCAGGAGATCGAGACCAGTCTAAGCAACACAGCAAGACCTTGTCTCTACAAAAATCAAAAAATTAGCCAGATGTGGTGGCACATGCCCATAGTCTCAGCTACTTGGGAAGCTGAGGCAGAAGGACTACCTGAGCCCAGGAGGCCAAGGCTGTGGTGAGCCATGATCATGCCACTGTAATCCATCGTTGGTGACAGAATGAGACCCCAACTCAAAAAAAAAAAAAAAATCATTTGTGTCTCATAGACATATAAACATAGGAAATCTATTTCACCCTTGGTATGGAACTGTATCAGAGCCTTTCTAACTAAGACACGTCTCCCAATGTTTGGTAGAGGAGTGTCTATTTTCTATTTGAACATTCTCACTTTTAAATGACCTAAAATTAAGATCCTGTAGGCAGGAATTTAGCAAAGTACTAGTGTGGCTAAGAGTGTTTAGGAAGGCCTACTGATCAAAATAAGATATCAAATAAAATTAACATGTTTACTTTCTGGAGTTGTGATTATTTTCTGATAAGTTATTTTAGTAAGTTTATTTATAGAACAATCACATTAATTAGTAATTTTTTGTATTTTCTTTGGAGGGCTTTTCTAATAAAGTATTTACTAGGCTTGCTTTCTTCCCTATGATAATGGATCTGAAAACACACATCTCAGAAGGAGTTACAGGTTGTGCCACCATATTTTACTCCTTTGGTTTGGAAAAAATAAAGGAATCACTAGGCAATTATCAAAATTCTCTGTATCTCGTGAAGAGGGTATATGCATAATTAATATGAAAACCTATCACAGAAATATTTTCACCATACTACTCAAAAGAAAAACTGGATTGCTATTATCACAGCAAAGAGTGTAAAAAAAAAAAAAAAAACCCAGGAAATTAAATACTCGATAGAGATCAGCTGTGCTCACATTTTTGCAAAGAACAGTTTAAATCGGATAGTTTCATTCTAGGAATGGAAGCCAGGGTCAAACCACATTTCTGGAAATAGCTCTTGCTGCTGTGCTTGTCACGGAATAGGTATCAGGTATGCTGAACAAGTGCTTACTAGAATTTCACACATAGGACTGAACAGAAATGCCAACTCATAGAACAGACGGCAGAGAAGAAAGCATTATTTTCTACTATTTACATTCTGTAAGGAAGAATGGGGATTAAGGTGTGGACTAGAAATTCATTATAAAGTGACTGGTGTCCATAAACATGGCAATATTTAGAAAGTGAGGCATATCATATATTTAAATTTTTATTATTAAAAGGATTGCTAGTTTTTGAAATTCAAGTCTATCAATGGACTCAAACATAGAAATTAGAAAACTACTCAGCTCTACTCTGTAAATACAATTTATTTCTCCCATTATTGAACTAACAGATAGCCAATATAGAAAAATTGGAAAATTCAGAGAAGAGGTGGAAAAATAAAGAAGGGGAGGGAAACTGCTTGTTGAGTGCAATATCTTCGAATCACTTCTGTTTTTTATTTTGGGATAATGCCTTTCTATCTTTTTCCTTTTTATATTTATTTTTCCATGTTGTGATATGGTGTTTTGGTCTCATGGAGGAAATAGATAAATAAACTATAAGGGTGCAAAAACACCTTTTCCAACATACTTTAAAAATAGAATAGCCATCTATTTCTGACAACTTAAGTGTCAAGCTGCTTAACAGAGAGAATGAGTTAAATGCCTCTCAGTATCATTTTTGTCTCACAATTAGAAACACTCAAGTAACCATAACCACTCTATTAGCAAATGTTTGAGTACTTTCCAACTTTTCACTAACAAAAAAAGGTGTCAACATATATCACACTATAGAAGTAACTGAAAGGAATAATATGCACATGAAAGGAGACAGAAACATAGACAGGATAAGCAAAATAATGGAAATTAAATAATATAAAATAATATAGCTATCCTTGATTTGAGAAAAGGACACAGCTAGAAGTATCTTGTTTTAGTGTAAATTACATTTCTACATTAACATACATTGTAAGAAGCCTGGCATGGTGGCTCATGCCTGTAATCCCAGCACTTCGGGAGGCCAGTGCAGGAGAATTGCTTGAGCCCAGGAGTTTGAGACTAGCTTAAGTCTCAAACATAGCAAGACAAAAAATAAAAAAATTAACCAGACATGGTGGCATGCACCTGTAGTCCCAGGAGGTCAAGGTTCTGGTAGCCGTGATCATGTGATGCACTCCAGTCTGGACAAGACAGTGAGACTCCCACAAATAAATAAATTAGATAGATAGATAGACTAGATACATAGATCAGAGAGATAGACAGATAGACAGACAGATAGATAGATAGATAGATAGATAGATAGATAGATAGATAGATAGATAGATAGATAGATGGATGAAATCCTCAATAGATAAATGTCAATTTTGGGCAAGGAGATACTTTGTATACTAGAAAGTCTGATGCCCATAGCTATGGTAGAAAGCTCTTTTCCTACAGTTCACAGCCTTTATGGCTTCTCGGGGTCTGACATCCCCTTTCTGCCACTTGCTTATTCATGTCCTCTCCTGCTTTGAGATACACAGATTTTTCCCTCATGCCTAGAAAGTCTAAAAGCCACAATTGTGGTTCTTCTTTTCTTTTATTCTAATAGAATCAGAATGCCTAAAAGAGGCAAGCTATTCACAGAAAAGTTAAAGCATTGCCTAATATGAGATATAGGCCTACTTGAGAACTTCTTAAATTTAAGAAACTACAATACATAAATCCCCCAACCAAATTTTGCTAAGATAAGAACACGCCCTTGGGTACATAACTTCATAAAAACTTTAAGATAGGATAGAAGTACTTCCTGTTTCTCCAATTCTGGATGTTCAGAAGCCTAAAACCAAAATGAAACAAGCAAAAGAACCTATTTGCCAAGGCTCTTGATCCAAACTATTTTTGACCTTAAAAATAATATCAACACATTCTTTAAAATGGTAGGATGCTTTGGGAAGTTGGGATAACTGCAATTTAACATATCTTTGAAGAGCTGTTAGGGATTAGGGTGTGTGTCAGTTATTAGAAATTTGAAGGCAAACAAGACGTGGAACTTGAGATAAATATGCTAACTTCCTGGAAATATAAAAGGAATTGTTATCTAACTGTACTCCTATAAAGCCAAAACTTTTACCTTTTTGTTTATTTTTATTTTTTATTTTTTGGTCTATTATTTGCTTATTTAAAGATATTCAACAGCACTCTATGGGAAAAGATTAAAATCCAAATAAAACAACTAAAGAATACATGTAGAAGACTGTGTCCCAAAGTTATGGGTATCTAAAGAGCAGGGAAAATCTAATTAAGAGCCCTATGTTTACAATTCAGGTAATAATTAGTGAAAATTAGAAGTTTAACCAAAGTGACTCTTTGATTTTTTGAGTTTCTTGTAAACCACATTTAAGAATGAAATTTTTGTTTATAGCATACAGAAATGTTACTGTTGATAACACATGATCCCAAGTCTCCCTTGGATACCTGCAGCAAATTTGACTCCAAACCACCAGGTCCACGGCATGATGGTGTGATGGAAGACATGAAGGAAAGTCACTTGGGTATTTTTCTTACGCAGAACAAAAAAGACCTGAAATAATTTTAAAGATATCAAATTTATATAAAATCATGCGATAAGGTATTATCACAAAAATATGAGCAAAGGGCAAACTATTTCATAATTTACTTTGAAAGTGTTATACTACAGAATGCTTATAGATGCAGCTGATTCTCTAAGGGAAATCTCAAATGCTAACTAGTAAGAAGGAACTTAGGAAAGATGCCTATTGAGGGACCAATAAAAAGGTGAAAAGAATTTTATGCAGGCTTAAAGTCAAATATACAAAATGAAGAATATGGCCAAAAATTATTGAAAGAAACAATATATGTTTGAAAAAAAAAAAAACCCCAGTGAATTTTGAAGTGTATTGGAAAGCAAAGAGTCTTTAATTCTGAGGGCTGAAATTATTCTTCATTGCTCCCTAATAATACTTCCTACCAATTTGGATAAGGGAATAGGCAAAGAGGGCTTGCAACAAATCAAAAGTTAGCAAATTCTTATTAAAGAAAGATGAAGGGGAAATATGGAAGAGTTAATTTAAGAAATATAATAGAGAAGAAAGCAAAACTGCACAGAAGAAGTAAGAAGAGGAACAAAGGCAATATTCAGATTGGACAAATCCAGTGGTTTGTAGAACTCTACAACAAAAGAGTAGAATTTGAGAAGTAAATCTTCAAAATGTATTTCAAAACAAAATTCAGAATACCAGCGCTAAGTTAGACTTTTAAATACGAGGCTAAACAGAATAACACAAAGAAAAATATAGCAGTATGTGAGAAATGTCATTTAGAAAAGGACATGGAGGCAGCAAGAGTTTCCTTATGGAAGCTGGATTTGAGAACATGCAAAGCAGAAACAAGGACGCCATCATGCATTTGCTTTATGCACATGGAAGAAAGCCAAGTGAGGCAACAGAAAAAGGCATAAGCCAGCAATTTGGGTCCTAAGCCCAGTCAGTAGCAGCATTCCTCTGGGTCAGTCACTTCTTGGCTTCCAGAGTGAGAGTTTCTGGACTAGGCCAATGGTTCTCAGTCCTGGCTGCATATTACAATCTCCAAGAAAGTTTTTAAAAATACCCATGTGGAACTACAGGCATGCACTACCACACCCGGCTTATTTTTTGATTTATTGAAGAGATGAGGTCTCGCCGGAGCCCAGCAGGTCGAGGCTGCGGTGGCCGGGAGCGGCCACTGCACTCCAGTCTGGGCGACAGAGTGAGACTCCAACTCAAAAAAAAAAAAAACAAAAAACCCATGTGGCTGGGCGCAGTGGCTCAGCCTGTAATTCCAGCACTTTGGGAGGCAGAAGTGAGAGGATTGCCTCAGCCTGGAGGTTCGAGACCAGCCTGGGCAACTTGGTGAGACTTCATCTCTAAAATAAATCACAAAAAAAACTAGCCAGACGTGGTGACATGAATCTGTAGTTCCAGCTACTTGGAAAGTTGAGGTGGAAGGATCAACCAAGCCCAGCAGTTAGAGGTTGCAATGGCCATGAGCATGCCACTGCACTCCAGCCTGGGTGACCAGAATGAGACTCCAACTCAAAACAAAAACAAACAAACAAAAACCATGCTTGGTATCTGCTCCAGACCATTTAGCAGCAAATATCTGTAGAGGGGGGACCAGGCTTTTTGTATTGTTTTCCTAATGCATTTCATTCCATTGCAGCAAGAGAGCTGAGAACCACTAGACTACAGTTCTCATAATGTGGTCCCTGGACATCAACAACATAAGCAGAACAACAACATAAGAGAACTTGTTAGAAATGCAAATTATTTTGTTAAATTTTTGTGCCCCTAGTCAGCAGGAGAGAAGTGCAGATTCTTGAGCCCCACCCGAGACCTACTGAATCAGAAACTTTGGGGTGGGAGTTCAGCTACCTGTGTTATACAAGTCTTCCAGATGATTCTAACTCATGTCAAGGTTTGAGAACCACTGGATTCTATGTTTACTAAAAGCCCTCCCAATTCTAACATTATATGATCAGTCAACTGAGAAGGTGAAGCATGTTGAGATTTCCTACAAGAAATGCAGTGGTATATATTCCAAAGAGAGAACACACTTGTCAATCTCAGAGCCAAACTGGTTCCAAATAACTGAGATCCACTTGTCACAGGTATAATGAATATCCAGCTTTTCTAAAACTACTCTGGAGACAAAAACTCATGACTTTCTTCTCTCATCACAAACCCTAATCCATGGCACTTGCTTTTCCCACGACACAGATATCCGAGTTCAGAGGTGATCCCCACCAGGATATGAAGTACGAAGAGTTAGAGCCCAGTAAGAACAGACTTCAGAAAGGCGGTTGGAGACATTTTTGGCGTTACCCAAATTACTGATACCTCAGAAGTAACTTAACATCCTAGTGTATGAATTTTGAAGCATTTATCCTCCTGAAGGAGTATGAATGACAGTGGTTTGGTATGAAGAACCAAAGGTAAGAGGTTCTTTGTTCTTTACTTCCTGCACTTGATTCATAAAACAATTGTCATGCATCCACATAAAGATACACTGTTTGGGCCAGGTGCGGTGGTTCAGGTCTCTAATATCAGCATTTTGGGAGGCTGAAGTGGGAGGATTGCTTGAGCCCAGGAGTTGGAGACCAGCCTAGGCAATATAGTGAAACCTTGTCTGTATAAAAAAATTTTTAAAAATTAGCCAGGCATGGTGGTGTGCACCTGTAGTCCTAGCTACTCAGAAGGCTGAGGCAGAAGGATTGCCTGAGCCCAGGAAGCTGAGGCTGTGGTGAGCCAGAATCATACCACAAAGTGAGACAAAGTGAGACCTTGACTGAAAAAAAAAGATGCACAGTTTTGTGGTATATGTGATAGTTATATGCTTATCTTAATTAAATGGTAGCTATATTAAAAAATCTTTTTGAGTTTGCAAAATACTGGAAAAAAAATAAGCTTATCCTATCTATTCTCTAACATTACAGATAATAAAAGGTAAAAAAGAAAAAGTAGGTCTATCTGAGGAAGAGAGATAACTAAAGTTATCAGATAACTGAAACTATAACAGTTTATTGCTTTCATTGAAACTTCAAACATTTACCAAATGTGGTAACCACATACTCACAGTATCTAATAGCTCAATAAATTTGGAGAAGTAATAAAGCCAGCAGGTGCGTGCCATCTGCAGAAACACACACAGACATAAATGTATTTTATTATATTTTTTACATGGAAGAAAAGTTCATTTTTTAAATTTTGGTAAAATATACATAACATAATGTACCATCTTAATAATTTTTTAGTGTATAGTTTAGTGGCATTAAGTACATTCACACTGCTGTGCAATCATCACTACCATCCATCCATAGAACTCTTTTCATCTTGCGAAACTGAAACTCTATCTCCACTAAACAATAATTTCCCATTTCCCCTTCCCTCCAGCTCCAGCCACCATTTTACTTTGTCTTTATGAAGTCAACTACTCTAGGTACCTCACGTAAGCCAAATCATGCAGTATTTGTCCTCTTGTGCCTGGATTATTTTGCGTAGCATGATATCCTCAAGGTTCACCCATATTGTAGCATGAGTCAGAATTAACTTTCTTTTTTAAAGGCTGAAGAATATTCCCCATGGCCACTTGAATTGCTTCTACCAACGTGACTGTACAAATATCTCTCTGAGTCTCTGCTTTTAGTTCTTTTAGGTATATACCCAGAAGTGCTGGTTCTTATAATTCTATTTTTAATTGTTGAGACACTAGGTATGAATTTATTTTTAAATTCAAAAAGAAAAGCATTAATTTTCATTTTTCAGAAAACTATACACCTGACTTTCTTTGATTATTTAGTGCAATTTTTTCCCCAACAACATATAATCTGATAATTGAGTCATTTGTTTATTCTAAGTTCACATCCAATTTGCAGAGTCCAAAAAATGTTAACATCGAGTTACAAGTTTTTGCAAATAGAAACTTACCCTCAAAGCTGTGGGAGACCGGGAATAGTCAACAATTTCACATCGAAATGAATAACCTGTACCCCAGCCAGACATCACAAACTGCAAGAGAGCACACGCATATTAAAAGAAAGCATTTGCTCAACAGTCACAACACAGGTAGTTTTGACAGTGTCTGTTTATTATGTTTTCACCTGAGTCAGCAGTCAGTGCAGTGGAAAAGAAGGCTAGAACAATTAACAAATTACAAACACGCTTGATACCAATGCTTGATAGCAAGAATTTTTAAAGCCACACACTCATATAGCATTTGTAAACTGTGTTCTGACTAAAATATCCATCTCTTGGGATGGTTATTCTAATACAGAGAAAGAACAAAATACTAGGAGTGTTTTGCTTAAACAACAAATACTGTTAGGTGATTTATTCACTATATTGCCTAGGTACATTTATATATATGAGTGTATATAAGAGAATGCCTGGCTCCAAATCAGTCTTTTCAGGCAAATTCCAATATTTCCATTTAGTCAATAAGTAAATGGGCAAAATTCCTTAATATACTCATAAGGTGACTGCAAGAACAGGGCTTTTTCTGCCCTTGGCTAATGGGTGCGATATGAAGTGGTAGTTTTGCTTTGGATTCACATGACAAGTAAAAGAAGAAAATGCTATTGTTAACAATAAAAGTGCAATCTGGCAGGACTTAATTCCAACACACCCACAAAGTGACCTAAGGCTGCTGGTGAGAAGAAGCCTATTGTTGGTAAGTCTGAACTGTAACTCAAAGATTATATTGACATTCTTTCAGTCTGAAATGGAAAGGTCTTCTTTTAAAACAGTATCTGAAAAGGAAACTCCAAGGACTCTCATTTTAAATTAATGCCCATGTTAAATGGTTGGCTGAATTTAGGGTATGGACAATATGATCAGTTCTTCTCTCCTCTGACTTCTTATTTTCACAAGTGCCAACATCCTTCCTGTAATAATCATTTTTTGCTATTGAAACAAATTTTAAATTTCTACTATTAATTACCACTAAGCTAAAATTACAAACTTATGACAAGTCTAATTCTAAAAACAAAGGCTTACAAGGCATTATCAGAATATTTTAATGGTGCAAAGAAAAGAAACAAAGGAGAAGAACAACTATTAGATCATGCTATTTAAAAACACCCCACCCTTTTCTGATACTAGCTCCTATCTTGATTTATAAGATAATTTAATCACACTTTTAACTTGGTAAGTTATTAAATCTTGAAAATTACAACTCAGAAAAGTACTAGACATACATTCCACGAATGAGAAAAAAACTTACAAAAACAAGTCAACAGATTTTCCCAAAGGAACAAGAGAATGTAACACAGAAATGACATAATTCTCACTTTTCTTTGAGCAGGTTTAAAAAAAAAAGGAATAGCTAATTCTGTTTTACAAAACCTTGCTCTGACAGTGAGTATACCCATATTCTCTTGAGCTCATGTCCATTCTTAACTAATACAAGTAAGCTTCTAAGTACAGGCTATTTATTTGAACTGTGATAACTAATTCTCCACCTTCCCTTACCCCAAACTAGCACTGAGTTGAATAGAAATTGTGGAATTTGGTCTTATGTGGGGTCTTAACTGGCTTCTGTTTGTTGGTGTCTTACTGGTATCAAGTAATTAACACACTCAACCACTATAAAATAAGCCATTTGAGTTCCTTTAATCTGATCTTTTTCTCTTTCATCTTCTTCCTATTTGGTCTAACATCCTTAGTGCAGGTGTTTACTTTGTATACCAGATGAAATTCTACTCTGCACAAACACTGTGTTTGGATGTGTCACCACAGATGGTAGGTCGTGCTGCTGTTCAAAAGTCCTCATTTATTTTTCGTTTAAGTCTTTGCTTAAACAGAGTGTAGAAAATGTTTTCCTGATATTCAGTTTACAAAATTTCAACAGCCTGTGGCATTTTTTACATATATGTCTGTATTGCAGGCTATAAAAGAAAAAGTGTTAATTCATATTTGGCAGGTAATAAATCCTGAAACTGGCATATAAGTAAATCAAGTATTAATGGTGAATGGGAGATAGAAACCATCAAACTCAAATATTTCAAACCTTTACATTGTAATTGATAAATAATCAAAACTAGCTAGTTATGATTGGATTCTTTCTAAGCCTGAGAAACATACTTGGGGACATTATAACCAATAATACAATTAGACACAGAACCTAAGAATACCAGAGTGTGGAGGGACCTGAGAGACAGTTTGGTTCAATCCTGGCTTTACAACATGAGAGTACTGAGGCCTAAGAGGTTAAGTGACTTGATCAAAATCAGGCAGCTGGTTAGTAGCAGAACCAGGACTAACTAGTCCCTGATCTCTAGGCTTCTAGGTGGGCTCTTTGTTTCTTTGCTCCCATCTTTATTACTTTTTCCCTTTCAGTTGCTCATACTCCAGAAGGGACAGGAAGAGAGGCATGGGAGTTAATTTTGGAATAAAACAGAAGAGAAAGAGAAAGCAGCAGAGTAAATCCTAGCTTTAGGGAGGATTGTGAGAAATAAGGCCAGACTAGATTTGAAGTGATCTAATCAGGTGATCTGCAGCAAGAATCAGGTTAGAAGAATGCATGTGAAGGGGCTATGGTGTCAAGAAGGTCACAGGGGTCATGTTGGCCCAAATGAGGTCAAGGTATGCTACAGAGGAAGGAAAAAAGAGGATGAGGAAGTCAGCTAGGGTTGGGAAAGAAGCAAGGAATTCCAGAAAAGAAGATACATGGGGGCGGCTAAAGCAGGTTAATAGCACAGGGGGAGAGAAAGAATCCAAGAATCTGCTGTTGTGTCCTGGAAGAGCCCCATCTCTCTTAATGACAACAAAGGAACAGGCCTCCTTACCTGCTTTGAATGAGACTATGTTCTCTGTCTCCCCAAGGTCCAACTAAACTAAGCCAAAACAGTCCACCATCTTAGAGGTCATCAGAGCATGCAGAAACCAAAGGTTCCTACCATGATGATGACAATTCATTACAGAGTCAGCATAAGCTCTGATACCAGACAGACCTGCCTGGGTTCAAATATCATTCCTTCATTTTCCAACTATGTTGCTTTAAGTGACCAGTTCCCTCAAAACTAACATTTATGGATTCATTCAATTATATATTAAGGCTATGTGCAAGTCCCTGGATTGCATGTTACATTTTTCTCCTTACCTGTGAGATAGATTATATGAGGTCATCTAATGAGTTTATTGCTTGCTCTATATCTAGGATTAATTTGGCAAATATCTGCTCTAGTGAGATCAGTTTCTGAAATTCCTTAGATCTCAAAGGTTACCCACATCGTCATAACAAAAAACTTAATGCCAGATAAACAGGAAGACTTGGGCAATATTCTCCCATTAGGAATACTGAAGACACTTGCCTCATAACACATATACACAGAAAAGAGTACTATGAAAAAATTGTACGTTATCATCACTTTCTTGAGTTCAAAGGGCTTTCGATTCTCCATGAGCTTTGGTCCCAGAGAAGTGACAAAACAGACATAGACTCCCAGGAGGATGGTTTGTGGCAGAGGTGAGGACATGAGGAGCCAATCTTCGACTCTTGGATCTAAGAGAAAAACAATATGTGAATACACACCCACTTAGCCAAGAGATAACTGACAGCAACCAACTAAACGTGACCATCTAGATCCTAATGCTGACAGAGGACTATTTAGGCAATGATCATTAGTATCTTCAGGAAGGTGACAAGAAATCACCAGGAGCAGCCTGAGGCTAGAAATAGGGGGGTTATTATCATCCCTAGGCTTCAAAGGGCTAGGGAAGGTAGCAGTTATCAGATCCCAAAGAGAGTCACACGGAGAAGCCATCCGGGAGAGGAGCTCTGTTATGCACTAAATGTTTGTATTCCCCCAAAATGTATATGTTGAAATTCTAACCCCAAATGTGACAATATTAGAAGGCGAGGTCTTTGGGAGGTAATTAGGTCATAAGGGTGAAGCCCTCATTAATGGGATTAGTGCTCTTATAAAACAGAGCCTAGGGAGCTCTCCTGCCCTCTTTCCATGTGAGATACAAGAAGATAGCAGTCTTTAACCAGAAGAGGGCCTTCACCAGAACTTGACTGTGCTAGCATCCTGATCTTGGACTTCCATCATCTGAACTGTGAGAAATAAGTTTCTGTCATGTATAACCACCTAGTCTTTGGTAATTTGTTACAATAGTCCAAATGAACTAAGATAAACCATGACCGTAAGTCGAGGGAATCAGCTAACTCAAGACAATTCTACAAGTAAGACACCAGAGGAAGAGATAGTCCAACTCCACCCTCCTCCCTATCTCCAAGCTCCTGGAGTTGAACCTAGCTTCCATCGGCTGAACCAAATCAGAAACCAGAGGGCAAAGAGCTAGCTTCGGGATACAGTCTTTACTGGTCATTCTCTAGGGCTCAGCACAATGCAAAGTAGATCTAGAGGAGAAGACACCCAGCAACATCCCACCATCCATCTATAATCACTATGAACATTTTAGTGTTTTTCCATCCAGACATTCTTTTATGTATACAAATATGCTTGTTTTTGTTGCTTAAGTTTCTTCTTTTCCCAAGAAAATTGGCATACTTGCACATATACTGTATCACAGAATCATGAAGTTGAAAGGAAATTTAGTATCTTTTTTTTTTTTTAGTTGGAGTCTCACTCTGTTACCCAGGCTGGAGTGCAGTGGCACACTCATGGCCACCCCAGCATCAACCTGCTGGGCTCTGGTGATTTTTCCTTCTCAGCCTTTCAAGTAGCTGAAACTACAGGCACACGCTACCATGCCCAGTCAATTTTTTATTTATTGTAGAGATGAGGTCTTGCCAAGTTGCCCTGGCTGGTCTCGAACCCGTGGGCTCAGGCAATCCACTCGCCTCAGACTCCCAAAGTGCTGGGATTACCAGCTGAACCACTGAGCCCAGCAAGCTTAGCATCTTCTAAGTACCCAAAGTGTGGGTTCTAGGTATCCAAAATGTGGGCTAACCAATCTGATATTCCGAGCAAAAAAAATGTACTGGCCTCATAACAATGTAAACAGAAATTCACTTGATCACTGCCAGCTACAGGCCAGCAGAGTTGGATCAATTAAAAATTGTAACTCGAGATGAAATGTGATTAATTCTATAATCTCAGGTAGTTCAGGTATAATTTTCCTAAATGGCCTCATGATGCCAGAACATGATGAAGAAATTTAAGCAAGGATAAGTATCCAGGAACATCTGACTCAAAATTAACTGACCTCAAGACACTAAATATCATGACTTTTATCAACTGGAAAAGAAGAATGGGGAGAGCAACTGTTGCTCATTTAAACTGCTAATGATGTAGATAGTTACTGACAAACTCTGACAAACAAACTCCTACAAGTCTAACTTCCTACTCACAATTTCTTCAATAGAAGTTCACAATTGATAACTCACTTGGCCTTTATTTTAGTGCTAGAGAGCTTACATCTGGCAGTTGGCTGTGCATGGCTTTAGCTAGTAAATATGATTTACTCTGCATTCAAATGGGTCATCTTGAAAAATACCGGCAGATGCCCTTATTCTAGTCAATCAATCAATCAATTAAGCCAAAGCATCAACAGTCAGCTCTAAAAAGAATCCCAGGACATTTAGTAACTTAATATATGATTAAGGAAGCTGCATGTATAAGCAGGGAAGGGATAGATTATTCAACAAATGTATAGGAAAATTGACTGCTTGGGAGAAAAATATGTTTTTTCTTTTTCTTATATCCTATACAACCCATGTTCCAAAATATGCAATGGAAGCAAGATATTTAAAGAATTCCTGCAAAAAGAAGGAAAGAGGCTACTGGAATGCAGGATTAAACAAACAAGCTGCTTTACTACAAGATTTCCTCATGCTTCATGTTCATTATGAATTGCCAAGATGGGGATGGTGATATGCAACATTCTCCAAACTTCTTTGGCCATGGAACACTGATTTTCCATAGAATGCCATTTAACATCTTATAGAACTAATGCTTTTTAGAGCAAGTTTGGAAAATACAATCATTTGCAAAAATAAGCTTGTAAATTAAACCATAGAAGATTAGGCAGTGATAGAGAAAGATAAACCAGAGCACATTATTATGAGATATAGTAAGGAAGAAGAAAACATACAATTCTATTATTGGCTAAACACAGGGAATGAAAGATAGGTAGAAGTTAAGAAAAATGCTCAGATCTTTTGTTTAGATAGCTATATCATCACTTAGATTGGGAACACAGGATAAGGAGCAAGGTTGGTCAAGGAGAGAAGGCTTATATTTGGGAATATCTTACATTTATCTTACAAAGTAATTACATTTTGCCAATAAAACATTTAAGATTTCCATAGAAGCTGAATATATGGATCTCGAATTAGGAGAGAGATTTGGGCCTAAGATATAGATCTGGAGGTTGTCATCGCATAAATGACAAACAATAAAAGCAATGAGACTAGGTTTTTAAAAATGAGAAGAGTAAGGAGAGTAAGTGCTCAAGTCAGAATCCTAAGGACTCAGTGCTCACAGGTAGAACAGAAGAAAACTGTAAAGAAGACAGGGAATGGCTATAGAGATAGAAGGAAAACCGCAAAAGTGACAAATCCTAAAGCCAAGGGAAGAGTAAATTTTTGGAGGAAGTCAAAGTATCAAATGATCAAATGTGGCAGTGAGGGAAAATAAAATGTGGACAAAAAAGTGCCACCAGATTTAATAAAGGAAGTCACTGACATACTTAGCACAAACAACTTTAGTAAAGTATCATGCATAAAATAGAAATTCAAAAAGGTTTCTGAGAGACACTTTTAAAAACACCAAGTTCTAAAATTTTAGAAACATTTTCTCCTATCAAGATTTGTCACAGTTTTAAATCAGAAAAAGCTTTGAAATCAGCTATCCAGGAACATGTCACTGAAATATTTTATTGCTTCTATTAGTCCCCCTCCTTCCTTTTAACAATGGCAAGTTTCTTAGGATATCTGGGTGCCATGTGCAATTAAAGTGGCTACAAAGATCCTTGCTATGGGTCTGTATGTCACAAAGAAAGTTTCATAGATAAAAGTTGTCACAGAACTAGGGACCAAGGTATAGAGTAAGAAATGATCAAACTTTGATGGATTTTTTTCTATAAGTGGGTACTACAAACCTTAAATACATGAACATCATAAACCATATTACTGGGGTTTTTTTCCTAATGAAATAAGGACTAGTAAAAACAGTACCAAATGAAGAACTCTGGAAGGATGCTAACATAACCGCCTTTGCTTGGTGAGAGTTCAGATGACTTCTGTTTTTTTCTTTTCCTTATAAGCAATTTCAAGTGATTCTATTATTAAGTCACCACATATATGGTTAAAAACTAGGTTAAGTGTCAGTAGAAGAATTCCTGAATTAGAGATATATTTTATTTTATTCTTTCACTGACTCGGTGGGGAGAAAAAAAGTCAGATGACATCATCTCTCTATTCCTCCTGTGGTAGTGGTAGAAAGAAAATAAGCCAGGAAAAGCATGCTGAGCTGGCGCAGGAAGCTGAAAAAAAATTTTTTTTAAGAAATGCTTTTTCCTGTAATTTAATATTCTCAGCACACATCTTTTCTTAAAGTTCTGTGAGTGACTTTCAAGCTCTGTAGATAAAAATTAATTATGGGAAAACCTGGTTAATTTAATTGGATGTTATTTTGAAAGCAAATAATAAAACAAAATACCAAGCTTTTAAAATCTTTTTTCAGCAAAACTCTGGAGTCAGACAGTCTTCATTCTGATTTTGGTTCTTCCACTGACTCTTTAGGTGACCTAGGACAATTGACTAAACTTCTCCATACTTAGTTTCCTCATCTGTAAGTTGGGCATAAAACAGCATGCATTTCATAGAAGACTAAATGAGTTAGTACATGTAAAAAGCCTATGTGCTCATAAGCTTGCTACTGTTATTACAGCTGATCTCAATTCTGCCAACACAGCCAAAACACCTCTGGTGTATTTAAAAGTCAAATGGGCTAACTGAAACACAATCCTAGGGGATGAGTTCCAGGCATTCATATCTTTATTTAATGGGCAAAGGACCTAAAGAGACATTTCTCAAATGGTCACAGATATATGAAAAAAATCTCCAATATCACTAATCATCATGGAAATGCAAATTAAAACCACAAAGAGATATAGCCTCCTACCGGCTATTTACAAAAAGACAAAAGATTGCAAGTGTTGGCAAGTATATAGAGAAACCCTTTTACATTGTTGTTGGAAATGAGCCATTATGCACTTATTAATAAGTACTCCAGCTAGGCTCGGTGGCTCAGCCTGTAATCCCAGTGCTTTGGGAGGCCAAGGTGAGTGGACTGCCTGAGCCCGCGGGTTCGAGAACTGCCTGGGCAACTTGGCGAGACCACATCTCTACAATAAATAAATAGATAAATAAGCTGGGCATGGTAGCATGTGCCTGTAGTTCCAGCTACTAGGAAGGCTGAGGCGAAAGGATCGCTGGAGCCCAGCAGGTCAAGCTTGCAGTGGTCCAGTCTGGGTGACAGAGTGAGACTTCAACTGAAGAAAAAAAAAAAAGTACTCCATTATTATGGAGCT